AATTACAATTTAAAAAAATAAGTGCTACTGAAATTACCACCTCCCCAGTAGGCATGGAACCCCCACATGATTGAGAGGTTTGGGGTAGTAAGCATGGGCTCTATTGATTATTATTATTATTGTTGATGATTGACAATATAAGTTAGATAGAAAAAAGTAAAAAGTACAAAATCAAAAAAATGCTGCTAAAACCAGCCCTTTTGACACTTCAATCTTGTCAGGGGTTCTTGCATAGTATGCACCACACCAGCCATGCAGATACATGATGTATATTATTAGTTGAGGACTGACAATGTAACATCAATTTAAAAATAATTAAAAAGATGGCGGATGGCCATAAAACAGTATTGAAAAAAAAACTAGCAGAGACCACAATGGGCCCCCCAAAACGCCCCCACCTCCAGTTCGGGGGTGAGGGCAAGGATATGATGTGCCAGCACTGAATAGTTAGTTCTTTATCTTACAGTCAGAAAACAAACAAAACGTAAATTTATTTTATTTAAATTCGGACTTTGTTTTTATCACTTTTCAACATTCCTGTGTCCTCTGGTTTTCTTTAGGTGTCTGTTGATCTGGATAAACTTCAGGAAATTTTTAACTGTAATCTGATTGTTCTCATTCAACTATCCATGTCTAGGGATGTCTTACCTTGTTCTTATTTATAATACTGCTCAGTTCTTGTTTGGCCCTGTTTCCACTGAGCCTAAATCAGTAGTACTTATTGCTTAATTTTAATTAATTCACCTCAAGTAAGGGGATAATGCCACTAAGATGCAAGGGGCTAATAGAAGTGAAAGAGAAGGAAAAGAATTTAAAAGGAACCGGAAACCCAATCCTAAACAGGAAGCAAGACATAAACCTCTACATCAGTTCAAAAGACTGGGGAAGAGTGTGAACTGGATGAGAGATGAAGATATCTATTCTTATTGAGGGAAAAAATAAAATAAAAATTAAATAAACATTATAAATTTTAGAGTCTAAGCAGAGACATTAGAAATATAGAGTTGAAGTAGAATTTAGAAAGAACTTGAAACCCAATTGAACTCACAATTACTACAGCATCAAATTCACTACCAATACGTTTATCCACTAGCCTATTGTTCAGTAGACAGCAAAATGTGAATGATCTCTCCCCATAGATTAAATAAAGGGTTCAGTTTGAAATTCCTTGAAAGTTACCCAAAATTACAAATGCTTGAATAAGGCCAGAAGGTACAATGGTCAAAATGCTGTGATAGCAGCAACAAAGACAAGGACATTAGTCAAAAATTTAAATAACAACTCCTCATCACAGACACAAAGTTATTGCTAAACTGCTGGGGGACATAACTTATTTTTCAGAATGCTTCAGTTTGGAAACTAATTTTTTATTTCATATGAAAAATATGTTTTTGTTATTTGAAAATGTGCTTGTTACAGAATTTACAGCAGCAATGCCTAGCATGGCAAGGCTGTGGCCCTATACACCAGAGCAGGTGTCTACAGGACATATTACTACATAATAGGTCTATTTTTTTAGTAATGCTTGTACTAATTTATGATCATTAAGATGATAAGTTTAATTTTGTGGCTCATTAGGCTGATTTCCTTATTGAGCTTGCATTCAATTGCATCTGACTTCTCAGTACTATGAAAATGGTTCTACTTAGGTCTTCCGGTATATCACCACTGTTGCAAATTTAATTTATGTTTGTAATTTTGTCAATGCTAAAATCATATAAAGTTGACAGCATCTCTATTACAATTCCATTTAGTCTTGCTGCTTTCTTCTTGTTCAATTTGGCAAATGCAGATTTCACTTTAGACTTCTTCAATATTTTTAGTCCTTTGATATTTCTCTGTATTTTAGATTGTCCTCTTTTTTGTGGAAAAGTTCTTTGATATATTTGTTCCATGTTTAAAGTAATTTTGTCTATCTCTATTATCAGTGTTCAGTCCTTGAATTTTATGTATCCTGTTGATGAGCATGTCTTTTGTTTTGCTAGTTCTCTTATTCTTCTATGAATATCTACTCTCTATGTAATATTCTTTCTTTCTATTTCTGTACACTTTTCATTTGGCCTTTTCTCTTTTGTTTGTCTGTACTTGTTCCAAATTTCTTTTTACAATGCCCTATATTCTGCACCATACCTTGGCATTTTTTGCTGTCCCCTTTTCATCATGTCAAGAATTTCATCTGTTATCCATTCCTTTTTTTCCTTGTCTAGTTTTCTTTGGGATGATCTCATTTGCTGATGTTACTAAAGTTACTTTTAATTTGTTGCGCTATGAATTTCCATTCTCATTTAGTTAATTGTATCTGCTTTTAATATTGTCCTTATACTTCTTCAAATTCAAATTATTCAGGAATCTGTCATATTACAATTTGGGTGCTGCCTTGGACCTCTTCAATTTCCATACTTTTGCTCTAAGGTTACTTATTACTGAAGGTTGGTTGCTCCTACATCCAGTGCTTGAGTATGTTTTACAGTTTAGAACTTTATTCCTGAATCTCTTATCATTATGTAGTTGATTTAGTTCTTCATTTCTCCTTCTGGGCTTCTTCATGTCTATATTCATCTTGGATGTTCTTGAAACTGGTTGTTGGCTACTACCGGATTGTTTGTCATGCACCATTAGACACATTTTTTTCTACATTTGTTACAAGCTCCTATTGTGAATTTGTAAACTATTTTACCATCTCTCACCTTCCCTAATTTGACATTCAGTCTCCCATGATGATTGTAATGTCCTATGATTTGCATTGAGCCTTGGTGATATCAAGTATGCAATAAAACTCTCTGATTTCTTCTTCCATACTTTGTACTGTCAGTGCATATACAACTATGATGAATATGTTAAAGGGCTTCCCTTTCAATTTAACTACAAGAATTCTATCAGATCATTGCATTCCAGAACACCTTACTTCATGTTTTGGTCTAATATGTGTCATATGTTCATTTTTCATTCCACCTGCATATATTACCCTTTGTTTATCACTGACAAAATCCCCATGCTTGTCCATCTAATAAACACTGTTCCCTAATGAGTCAATAGGAAGTGAAGGTGGTTTGATGGTTAATAGCAGAGTGAATGGAATCAGCAAATGAAATTCAAACTCTGCAGGGGACAGTTTGTACTCACTTTGCACTAATACACTGAGGAAAGGAATGAATCCAATTTCCCACACCATCCCCAGCTCTAGGTAAATATCAGCACTATATGAGCTTTTTAGCCTTTAAGTCATTAAAACTTGAGCATCAGACTACCAACCTGACCTCATAAAAATTCACTTGCTACTGAAACTGTATTTGGTGTGGTTATGACCTTATGCCGTCAAAGGAGTCTGCAGGAATAAATGAAAATGAGTCAATAAGAAATAGGCTAATGTGGACAGCTGAAAATAATGTGGGTCATAAATGACTTGGAACAGAAGGGAGTGATACGGATCAATCATGCATCTAATAAATTGATAAGCTTCTTACATTTGTAATTTGGTAGACATGCAAGTGGTCAAAGAAAATAATGCAATAGCAATTTTTTTTTTAAATCAAGATTATATATAAGTTATTTAAATGATTCAATGAAATGCTTACTTTTATTGTTATGGCATTAGAAATGTTAAATTATACAATCAATAAACCAGGCATGAAGATTTTGCCTCATATTTTTGTAATAATTATTTTAATATTGTCAGTGGTGAAAATGCAAGGTAACAATTAATTTTAATCTTATCTAAACCGGCTTATATTTTATGGGATATGACTGATATGTCAACTAGATTGATGGATGGAAAATTGCTGGAATTTTGAAAGTAGAATCTAAAAATATCTTTTTACTGCCCCTTCTTTGTTTTGAAATTTACTGTATTAAAATCAGTCATTAAAAGATACTGTTCAGTTAAATCAATTTTATATTGTAAAAAGGAGAAAAATCACATGTATTCTGATCAGTTGAATCAACAATGACTGTATCTAAGTTTGGCTCGTGTGTAAACTAAACAAAAAAATGCAATTGTGCCAAATAAAATCAAAGCAAATGCTAATTTGCCGCTGTTGTGCTTCCATACATACACGCACGTGATTGCTAGTGATGTCTGACGCAATTTTAAAATAGGTTACATGCAAAAGCTAAGCGCAATCAACAACTCCATGTACAGGGAATTAGACTATTTTTTTCAGTTAATCTAAAATAGTACACCAACCCAGAAATCCTTCTTATGGAAAATTAAATGCTGATAACACCGACAAATAAATAAAATAAATCAATGAATGAGAATTTTTTATCCGAAAATTTGTCGTGGATGTCGTGATTTCGAATCCGGCGTTGTCTAGAAATATGAATCAGAAAGATTTAAAATAAAAATAAACTTTAAAGGGGCTTCGCTTATCTGAAGATTTTGTTTTAACTTAAAAAAATATACTGACTCTACTAATTAAAGAAACATTTAAGCAGAATTTACATTTGCAAAATCGCATCCACCATAAAAAGCTGCAAGTGTGTGTTTTGCATGTTGTAATGTACAACATATGTATTGGCTGCGTCTAATGTAGTGATTATATCCCTGTGGAAGTAGCATTCTCTGTACTTGGGTAGGGGTGAAACACCTGACGTATATGCGCGCGCGCGTGCACACACACACTCATATATGAACAGCAGCCTGTAAGTACAGTAGAAAAAATAAAAATAAAATGAAGCTACCGTAGTTTCGTACATTATGATGACATCATTTTCATTTATGAATATTACCAAAAATTCTAACCGGTTATAATAAAAAAATTTAGAAAATAAAATAGAAAAATTCTGTTCTGTCTCCCAAGATTTAAGCATTCTTTCTGAAACCACTAACCGGCATGGAACACAAAACTTTCTTCTTTTCCTTCTTCTTTTTACCCCTATTCTTCTTATTATAATAAGTTGTATTATTCTTATTCTTGTAATTGTTATCATTATTAGTATTATTTTTCCTGGGTCTTTGGTAAGAGTGCGTGTGTGAAGAGGCCATCACATGACTCTTGTAGTCGTAGAGGCGGTGGCGGCAGCAGCCGACGGGCTCTCGGTAGAGACTATTTTACTACTGCTGACATTGTCGAATGTACACTGCTAACGGAAAGAGCTACCCTGGCCTTAAATTTGTGGTCACTCCACTCAAATAGTACAACAGGCAAGTAAAACGAACCTTTACCTGTAACCTAAAACAAATTTAACATTAATTTGCTTTCAGTATCTTTTGAAGTAAGCCGTCTTTCAGCAATTGCTTGCGATTCATTAATCTTTATTTTTCTTAATGGTCATAAAATGGGGGATCGGTTTATATTTCTGATATGATATCAAACTGAACCCCCACTAAAACTATTTAAGATATGGCTATATACCTGTTCTTTTACTCTTCTGGATTTTTTGTTGGTTTTTTGAGCTTAACCTAATTCTTCTTTGCAATGTATTCTTAATTTTTTTTTAGTTTGATCTTGTGATTTTTTTAAATTGTTTTATTTTTTGGTTGTTGTTGAGTTTGTTTATTATTTTTCTTTTGCATTATTTTTTGGACATCAATTTTCTTTCTTCATTCTTCCGAAAAAAAAAGATGAAAAGAAAAGGTATTTTTTTCTTTCTTCTCATTGTGTGTGACAATGTATTTAAATCTAAAATCTTATTCTAAATAAATCCAAACGATTCGACTTTAGAAATAAAGCGGAAAGAAAAGAAAGAAAATTAAGTATCATTTCGCTCGCTCCTACATCAAGATCACAGTCGACCGGTCTTACCGTCTTCATAATGCATTTTATTAGGTCTCTTTATAATTTCATCGATCACGTGCTGCTCTTTTTTGGCCTTTTTTACCGATATATGTTACTATTAACTCATCACATATCGACATCATGTACCACTTTTGCATGCAATTATAATTCTGTAAGGGTTAAACATTTGACAATTCAGAAAAACATACGATCTGATCTCCTCAACAATAAAGGTACCAGATCAGCGACTTACCTGATGTCACCGCTTTTCAGTCTATGGATGGCTAGGATAGCTATAATTTTAATGGGTACTGATATCAATGTTTTTTTAATATTTTAATTACCAAGTTAAATCTGACTTACTTAATGAAAATATGTAGAACCATAAAAGCTTGATATTTTATGAAAAGCAATATTATATGCCATCAGCATTTCAGCCGAGATAAAAATGTAAATCAAGTAGTCACTATTACTGCGACTTTGGACTTTCGTAGACAAAAAATGGGTCAATCAGGCATTCTTACTTTTTCAGTTAATAAAAATAAAATCATTGTTTTCATAAGTCACGGAGAATATACTACTGATTTACAAATATATTGGAATTTGCATAATTTAGGTTCTAAGAAATTATATTTTTTTAAAATAAATTTTCTTTCGTGGAGTCTCTGAGGCATGAAAGATTGAGACATCTGTCAAACAAAATCGAAACAAGGACCTGTCAAGTTGATAAAACTAAAACAGCTGCATTTAGACAATTAAAGTTAAGAAAGAAACGTGTTTAGTTTACTGTTATGTTATCCCATCAATAAACTCAAAATCTTATAAATCATTGTATTTTTCATTATTTGTGTGCTTTAGTCTTTTCGTTTAACTTTTTTTATTTTAAATGATTGGTTTTTAAATCACTGCATTGTAGACAAATTTGGTCATGTGCTTTGTTTGTGATCTTTGAATTGAATGAATACGAAGAAGAAAAAAGTCGTATAGATCCATTTGTATCTTGTAAAAAGTATAATTTTTAACTGTATTTATTTCTTTTACTCCGGATCTTCTTTAACGAATTTAGTTAATTTCAAATTAATTAATAAATCCCAAACTAAAGTTAACTTGATCTCTTTGACTTCCACACCGACAGTGATTTTTGGTTCAAGCCAGCGTATGTTTATTTAAAAGTTTATTATTAAAAAATAAAAAATAAATTTGCTTAAATATGCGTCTCTTTAAAGAATAGCAGACGATCTCCGAAGCATCATTAATAATTTTAAATAAGTAGGTGTCACTGTCACACCAGCAAAACTGCAGGTAGGTAAGTTGTCTTTCTGAATCAGGTGGAACAAGTTATGTTCATGAATTACCAGTTGATTGATTTTTTTCTGAGCTAATTGTGTCTATCTGCAAAAAATGTTTTACTTTTCATCACATGTTTAGTTTAGAGCTGAATGTCATATGACCGGTGCATACACACACATACACACACACACACACTCCATTCGATCGATACGTAAATCCACGTGTGCTCATCATAAACACAGATAGGGTTAATTAAATTACTTTCTCCCACCATACTTTCTATTTAGATATACTTTAACCAAACAAGAATCACACATTCACATTGTTTTGTATATGCGCACACTTATTTTTATTCATTGCAATTGATTCATTCAAAGTACACAAGTTAAAGATTTAATGATTAAACTTTAATCACGCATACACCAATGCAGCTTTAGTCCACTATTAATGTCCAGAAAGATCAATCATACACAAACATTTATGCAATTTTTTTAATTCATCACACACCTACTCATTCACACTCTCTCACATACACACTTTCATTCATTCATTCATTTTTTAATCATAATAATACACACATTTATTTTTCTGCCATTCATTAATTACTCCCATTTCATTTGTACACATGTTCTGGTACCTACATATATTGTGTGTGGTAGAGTAGTAAAGATTTATTGCACCACAGGATTACAATAATGGGCATATTGTATGTTTGTAAAATCTACAATAACAATTTATTTAATGAAATTATTTTTACATATACCATTTATTATGAATACATATTCAGATAAAAATTTTCTGCCAACATTTTAAACCTGTTCCACATATTTATATAGATATTTTTTTTAGATCTATCATATATATATATATATATATATATATATAAGAGAGAGAGATCTCAAAGTAGGCATCTACTTATCTAACAGTATAAAGGTTGCTCCCTGTTTGGTCAAAATTCAGTCCTTTGGTGGTGAGACTAGAGTGACCTCTCCAGGTTGCAGACCTGGATGATGGTATATGGAGGCTGTGCACTGGCCATACTATGTACCTCTAAGTACCCCCCTCCTGTACCAACAAAATACAAAGGAATATAGGCCATTAAATTTGAGGCTAGCTTGGCTGCAGGGATTGTCAGAAAGTTACCAGTATTGACAGTCAACCATTTTTAAGGCTCTACTCCAGGTTTTCTCTCTGGATTTACTTCTATAGCTTTTCTGTGTTTGAATATATATATGATAAAAATATAGTTTTAAGGTATGCTATGGGTAAAACTGTTCAATATCAGGGTTAGAGCATATATAAATATAAAAGTGGACACTGAGGTCAACACATATTAACATCACAAACCACTTTTGCATAAAATTATAATTCTGTAAGGGTTAAACATCTGACAATTAAGAAAAACATACAATCTGATCTGCCCAACATTAAAGGTACCAGATCAGCGACTTACCTGATTTTATATATATATATATATATATATATATATATATATATACACATACATATCTATTTTTTATAATAGATTCTTAACCCTGTGTTAGTCACATGGGATGTTTTGTTACCCCCCAAATTTTTTTAAGTACTTTTAATTCCTAGTTTGCAACGTGTTTCTTTTGCTCCCTTCCACTACTCTCCTGACTCGATAAGGGTGTGTAGCAAGCAGCGTGACACAGTTGTATCTCAGTTGGCGTAGAAAACAGACACAAGGGGACTATCCATTTTCAGAAATACAAAGTGACTAATGCAGGGTTAAAGATAATACCTTTAAGTTTTCACCATGTATTCATATATTTAAATGCATTTATTCCAATACTACAGTCTTGGAATAAATGCATTTAAATATGTGATAAATTTAAATATTGTTATAGTCTGTCCCCTTTAACTTTTGCGGGGAGATAAATAAAACTTCATGCTGGTTTTATTACTATATTTTTCAACATTTTCCTGATCCATAAAAAAAAAAGAATGAGGATGTCAGTTTTGAATATATTGTTGTTTAATGTGTCAAACCAAATTTCATAAAATATTCATTAAGCCTTTCATTAAGTGTTCAACCTTGATTCAGCCATAGTTAATAGTTATTTCTATTTGGTTTATTAAGTATCATATTTAGACCTTTTACAGAATGATATTGCGAGGTGTATTTGTTCTATCTGGTCATTTATTTTTCCGTTTCTTCATTTTGCTCTTCTCGCATTTGTTAAAACTCGCATGCCTTGAAATACAATTTTTACACCGAGGTCTCATTTGATATCCAAGCATTCCTTCTTTCAGAACAATTTTAACAATATCTATACAAACGGATTACCCACAAGTGCCTGCAGTGCAGTGATGGTTAATTTTGCAGTGAGTTTGACTCTCAGTGAGTGTTCTCTGATTGTGGCATTGTGCCAAACTTAGTAAATATATACAAGTGGATTACCCTTGACATAATTCTCTTTTTCATATTATCTAATTAACGCATTAATTAATATATGTCTGTATTAATCAGGCTGTGAATGACATATTTTAAAGTTGAGTTTCTTTCCTGTTGTCACACCTTTTTAAGGTTTGGAAACTTTCAGAATTCTTAGTATATTCAGAGAGAGATTATCTTTTTCTAATTTCAAAACCTTTTTATTTTCACTATTATTGGTACATATGAAATCCTACCATAGTAATAAACTTTATCCTCACTAGGTGCTTCACACTTGTAACCTTGTTCACTATTAAACTAATTTTATCTGTATTTCCTTTTTGTTCTTTTATGCTGGTCAATTAGTAGTTTTATTTCTTTTATGACAACTACTTGAATTAAGTGACATATTCACTTTGTTCATTATAAACTAAATTATGCTAATAGTTTTGGTTGGTAGATGCAAGTAGATTTGTTTGCAGAGAAAAATGTTTGTATAAATTTTATAAATGCAGTGCAATCTGTCTGCTCATCACAGCTAGAGTACAAAGTTTCCATTTAAGGTTGCAAGTTACTGTATTAACTAAGAGTTACAGCATCTTTTATTTAAGCTTTTTAGTTTTTGATATTTAAATTTTCTTTTATTGTGGTTAGTTTGCAATAACATGCAGCATATAAGTCCTTTTCTTTTTAATAGAAGTTCTTGCTAAATATGCCAGAATTCCTCATGCTGTAAAC